TCTTTGAGAAAATTATCCAGGAACACAACTGTGAGGGACCAGCAGGGGAGATTATGCTTAGGGGCAACCAACATGGGTTCATTAGGGGCAGGTCCTGTCAGACCAACCTGGTGGCCTTCTATGACCAGGTCACAAAATTCTTAGACGCAGGTGTCGTGGTGGACGTAGTTTTTTTGGACTTCAGGAAGGCCTTCGACATTGTCTCTCACCCCATTCTCATTAAGAAATTACGTGATTGTGGTGTCGATGCCTACAGTCAGATGGATCACCAACTGGCTGGAGGGCCACACCCAGAGAGTGGTGGTGGAGAGGTAATTTTCAACCTGGAGGGATGTGGGCAGTGGGGTCCCCCAGGGCTTGGGCCCGCACTGTTCAACATTTTCATCAGTGACTTGGACGAGTGGGTGAAAACCACCTTGTTCAAATTCGCAGATGACACTAAGATGTGGGGAGAAGTGGGCACGCTAGAAGGGAGGGACAGGCTACAATTAGATCTGGACAGGTTACAGAGGTGGGTGGATGAGAATAGGATGGGTTTCAATACTGACAAGTGCAAGGTACTGCACCTGAGGAGGAAGAACCAGCAGCAGACCTACAGGCTGGGGAACTCCCTTCTCATCAGCGCAGAGTCAGAAAAGGATCTTGGAGTTACTATTGATTCCAAGATGAACCTGGGCCGCCAATGTAAGGACATGGTCAGGAAGGTTAACTGCACCTTGTTATGCGTTCACAGATGCATCACGAGCAGGTCCGAGGAGGTGATCCTCCCCCCCTATGCGACATTAGTCAGGCTGCAGTTAAGAGTACTGCATCCAGTTTTGGGCACCACACTTCAGAAGGGATGTGGACAGCATTGAGAGGGTCCGAAGGAGGGCCACTTGCATGGTCAGGGGGCAGCAGGGCAGACCCTATGAGGGGAGAGTATGGGACCTGAACCTGTTCAGCCTCCACAAGAGAAGGCTGAGAGGGGATCTGGTGGCTGTCTATAAACTTACCAGGGGGACCATGGGGAACAGAGAGTCCCTGTTCCCCCAAACACCACCAGGAGTAACTAGGAATAACGGCCACAAGTTGACTGAGAGTAGGTTCAGGCTAGACATCAGGAAGCACTACTTCACAGTCAGGGCAGCTAGGATCTGGAACCAACTTCCAAGGGAAGTGGTGCTCGCTCTTACCCTGGGGGTCTTCAAAAGGAGGCTAGATAATCACCTAGTCGGGGTCATTTGACCCCAGTATCTTCCTGCCCATGGCAGGGGGTCAGACTTGATGATCTGCTCAGGTCCCTTCTGACCCTACCAACTATGAAACCATGGAGTCCGGCCAAGAGCCAGGAGGAGCTAAGCATGGTTGCCCACAGCAAAGCAATATGCCCTGCAACAAAGGGCATGTGCAGGGGTGCTCCTGCTAGTCTGAACGTGGCCAACAGGTCTAAATTGCTAAGCAGCTGGACCAGGAGAATTGTTAACCCACTTTGTAAAGCTAGAAGTGGAACACAGACTAGAATGAGGCCAACGGCTCATACAGAAGGATTTTAAGTGTTAACATATGGAGTAAGAGATGATTAGATTATTGCAGTGGAGAACAGAAGCAGACTTCTGCTTCAACAGAACCACTGAAGAAAGATGTAGGCCTGAGGCCTGAGAAAACTGAAGAGAAGTAGATGAGGAGAGAGGGTGAACAAGAGGCAGGGAAAATTAAAAGGAAAAAAATGTACAAACCACAAGAATGCACATGCTAAGTGGATGTTTATAGTGTTCATCAGAATAAGTTCTGAAAGAGGGAAAGAACTGGTGCCTTGTATACTGAAAATATGAACACATGCTAGAGACAGAGATGGATCCTTGGGAGATTAGGAGGGGGAAGATCTAGGGAAAACAAAAGATCTAGCAAAGAGTTGCAATTTATGAGATTACTTGGCCTGGATTACTTGGGATTGTCTTTTCCCTTATGCCCCACTGTGATCCCCAAGGTCAGCTGAGAGCAAGTACCATCAATGTGCCAAGTTTGCTTGATGAAAATGTGTGGGAAGTCTTTTCAGGAGTCACTCCTCAGCTCCTGAACTTCCTCCCTCTTGAGGCTTGCCAGAGTCCAAGTTTTCTGGATGCTCTGTAAAATCTTCCTGTTTTAGCAGGTGTTTAGCAAACAAAGTGAAGCCTGGATATTATTCGGGGGTGGGAGGGAGGTGGTTTGTTGTCATTCTAGTTGTTTTTTTTTTTAATTCTTGTTTGTACTCATGTTTTATATTGTTTTTTTCTGTTCTCTTATTATAAGCTGCCTTGAGCCTTTGTAGGGAAGGGAGGCATATCAAAATCAACTAAATATTTTTAAACAAATATTTTGCCTGGTTGGTTAGAAAAAAAATAAATCAAACCTAGGGTTATTAGCAAAATAAAACCTTTTGTGAATATCAAGGAATGGTAGATCAGTAAGATTTTTTCCTTTTAAAACAAATCAGACTCTCTCAATAGATCAAGGTTTACCTGCCCTTTCTCATGAGAGCTGCACTCACATTCTAACTGAATCGAAGATGCATAAGCTTTCGTACGTTTTCAGACGTGGCGAAGTGAGCTGTTGCTTACAGAAGTTTATGCATCTTTGATTCAGTTAGACTATAAGGTGCAACTCTACCCTGCCATCTGCCTGATCCAAAATTAACACTACTAAAATGTTTACAATGAACCCACACGAAAAGTTTTGTGCTGTTAGTTTTGGACAAGCCGAATCACCATATATTGCAATTTCTAAATAATATCAACTAGCTGAATAAGTTGTGGTTGATAAATAAGAGCCAAACCAAATAAAAGTCTGCCCAACTTCAGTGTAGGATTAAGATACAAACAATAAAAATGAAGTGATTTTGAAACTCCCGTTGTCACAGAGGCCAGAAAAAATATTAGATCTTACTCTAAATGTTTGATTTGTGTGGGAGTGAGTTAGAATGTACTAATGTAATCTTGATATTTTTCCAGTCTCACCTTTTATTTTTATTCACTTGTAAAGTTATGCTTAGTCATATTTATCTGCCTTCTTACCCTGAGGATTTTTTAAATAATGGCAAAAATACTTGAGCATAATGGGGCCGTGAACAGCTATAGGGATTTTTAACAAGCTCCAGAACCGTTCCTTTTTTGTTCACTGGTTCAATCAGTACAAATTGATAGAAAAGGAAAAGCATCACTTCAAAGACTGTCTGGGGACCTCTGTGGAATCAGTTGGTGATTTCTGTCTAAATTCCTTGAGAACCAGAAGCTAGCTGGTCAGCAGAGAAGACAAGGATTGGGCATGACAGTGAAATATTTTTTCAGTCAGAAACAGTTTCCTTCAGAACATGGAGAACTTCAGTTTGCAGTCTTGTCAATATGTGCCACCTTTTATAGGCTTCGAAATAAATTGGTATGTAAAAGCAATCTTTAGATAAGACAGAACATCATCAGTAACAGTCAATGCCTGAAAATTAACAAGCTAGAGGGTGTCTTTCAGCCCCAGCTAAATACTTATGTTCAGCAATTAATTAGTATTGTCATATGTACATAGTCACACACACTTTTATTTTGGTCCCTTTGCACTGCTAGGGTGATAATACACCTGGAACTGTGGTCAGACTCCTCAAAAGAGAAATCTCTGGATGACTGGCAACAGAGCAGACTCCTATTTCAGTCAGAGTGGAGAAAGAGGAGTGTCAGGAGAAGAAATAAGCAGTTGATTCCCAGCTGGGTATAAGGTACTGTCACGTTAGATTAGATTAAAACAGCCTCTGTGCACTTTTCTATGACAGAACTAGGGTGCGGGCAGCTTCAGTTTGAGCTTGGGGAAGTGAAATCTGCTCCTGGTCCCTGTCCCTCTGCTTCATAGATCTTAGTGTAGGAGACTAGAAAAAAAGAGATCCTGATATTTCAGGTCATAATGCATTACCAGGCAGTTAGAATGGTCATCTCTCTAAACAAATGGCCGCTGTGGTTGTAAAATAAATCGAGACAATGGATAGCTTCCATGCCTTAACAATTACATACATAAGGCTAAAGCATGCTAGGTATCAGGAAGAGCGCTTCTTGGTCTCAGTACCAGTGCTAACTCTTGGTCCATCTTACCTACCAGAAGAATGACATTTTACTGCTACGGTTACACTAACAGAAATATTAAGATGACATTTACCAATTACTGGGTAAAGTAGAGACAAAGGAGGATGAGATTTTCTATTGACTACTGGATGTGTCTGGGAAAACTGAATGCCTTTATAGTATATACTTATGCTCAGATGAACTATGAATAAGGATTCTGGGTATTTGGATATGTATCATGTGAAACTAAGGGATACTTACCTTTATACATCAATCTATGGCACTTGGCTGGCAACATAAGCAGCAAAAAGTATACATGAAAAACATTGACTGCTCCTTAGAAATAAAGTTTTTCTGCAGAGATTAAAATTACCATCATGGTTACATCATAAAATATAATAGTCAATGTTCAATGTTTAAAATCTTGTGGCAAAAAATCTTGTGATAGAGTATGAGTGTAGTACATGGTCTTTCATGAGGGTTTATAAAAATACTTCTATTCTTTTACTCCAGATTTGCACCATAAAGAATGCTTTCTCCTCAGGAGGTAGAAAGCAGAGATAAACGGGAACATAAGACTACAGTTTCAACCATATCAGAATGTTACTGGTTAATCAGAAGAATGTAATAATTAATCTTGTAATCCTCCTGCAGATTGTGTGAAATAACAACAGCTCATCTTTTCCAGCCTCAACCTGCTATTCTTGATCTGAATTACAGAGAACTGAAGAGTAGGTGAATTAATGAGCGACCTTGTTACGTTGCTATTTTGCCTTAGTTAAAGATAAATATCTGGTTTGTTATTTAAACTACAACAGAATACTACTAGACTTAAGCTAAACTGAACAACCTGTGCAAATGTGAACAAGAAAGCCATGGGTATTTTAAAGCTAAAATACTATCTTTGTATTTTCCATAAAAACACATTAAAAACAACCCAGTACAATTTGTAAAGGAGTGAAAATTCATTTGCCAGTAAATAAAATCCATGTACTGAAAGAACACAATATTCAACAATAATATGTCTACAAAATTTGACAAATATCAAACTAAATACAAGTAGAAAGATTTCAATCAAGAACTCAAAAGGAATGTTAATATTATAAAGAAAAAAAATGTCAGCATGATTTAAATCACACTCAATAAATAGGCACTTCAATAAAGTATATTTACACTAGCTTGCTGAATACTAGGGCATCACAAAGTAGTATGGCTTTATTACAATGGATGGAAGATGGCAACTACTTAGAACCCAGTGCCAACATGGATTATAACAAATCCAGTGAGTATTTTGTTTTTCAATTATTCATAGAAAATTTAATCCTGATTAAGTATCCTTGGGCAGGAATTCATGGGTAGTTGATGACTGAAACCAACATTTATTTGAAATGCTTCTGTTAATTTAATCTGTGTATATGGCTTAATTATGATTGAATCCTCAATGTAAGAGAAATGAATTATATCAGGATTAAAATTCTAGTACCACATCACACATTCCATTTTCTTTCCTATTTCTAAAAGATGCAAGAGTGCTGTTTTTATTACATTCATGTTGCCATCACTTTACAGCCTCACATAGTATTTAGCCTTTTGCTTCTGTATTATGTCTTAGTAGCATTTATTTTAAAAAAGTGTAACATAGGTAGCAATAGATTTTTAAAAATAAAAATTAAACCAACATCAACACCACTAGCAAAAAAGTGCGTCATTTGCACAAATAACAAACAAGAGTTTACTGCATTTACCTGTAAACATTTTACACTGGTTTCCTGGAACAAGTTTGTTTTCATTTAAAAATGTAAACATAAAGTGTACTGTCTACAAAGTACAGGAAGAAAAAAACAACACAACCTTTTTATTCATTACACTACAGAGATTTCAGACTGGTCTATCCCACCCTTGTTTGATGTTACAGTCATTTGAAGAACAGTTTTTTCTAGAACCTTAAAAACTAAAATTGGTGCAAGATGGGGAAGGTCTTAGATTGAAAAACATAGTTATGAATGTGAACAGAGAGACTGGTCTTCCTTTGTTGTCATATACCTCAGCACACAGCACGTAACATAGAAATAACCTGCATTTAAACATTAAAATTTTAAATATATTTTAATACCACATTTTTAGTGAATGCACCTAACCAGGTGACCTGTTCAAATTCAGTATCAGTGAAGAGCCCTACTTTTATGATCTGTGTTTTCCAGTGAAACCAGAGTAGCATGTTTTCCTGAAGCAAATATCTGCATACTTAAGTCATTAAGTATGACTGCATACTTAAGTAAATAAATGTATGTATACTTAAGTCATTAAGCACATCTGTTACCTAACTGTGTCTTTTCCTAATTATGTCAGAAGTGATGTCGATTTTTATGTCCAGATGGTACTGTTAATGGTAATGTCACTGATGACAGAGAAGACACTTCCCAGTATAGGCTATGAGACAGAAAAAGTCTGTAGAGGACCACCATGGAGACAGCCTGACAGAGGATAACACCTATGGTAATAATCTAAAAACCAAAAAAGAGAGAGATAGAGAAAAGTGAATGCTTTGAAGCAAGAACAAATCAATATTCTTATAAGCAACTTAAGTCAATGAAAATTGCTACAAACCTTTTGATACTGTAGTAGTTACAAGAGATTTGAGTATGGTTCTGGGATACAGAAACTCTTGACTTGTAATCTTAAATTTACTAGTTCAGTGGATAGCCTTGGGCAAATCACAAACTCTGTGCCTCAAAACTCAGACCTTTAATTCATGACCACTGGAGCTCCACAGGTGTAGCTGAATTAGTTACTTTTACCACTCATACGACAAAAATAAATATGCTTGGGCCTGCTCTTTCTATGCATGCAGCTCAAACGATGGTGCCTTCTTATTTTAGAAGAGGTTTTTTCATTTCAACCTGTTCATCTACAAGTGAAGTAGTTGAGAAAGCAGCTGAGCCACAAAGTTGCTGTGAAACTTACCTTATTCTCACAAACAACATGGCTGGCTTCCCCAAAATCAGCACATTGTAAGCAGGGAAGCTGTTTTCTGCTGGAAAAGAAGCATACCTAGAGACACTGTGTGCAGGAGCAGATCCAGGGCAGGTGCAGTGCTACAGTTCTACCTCCCTTTGGTTCCTGTCCACCCAAACTTCATAACAAAGTCCTTGGGAGGGGCAGCAGCATTTCTATTCAGGCGGTGCCGAGAGTCCACCAACTTTGTATCTCTTTATCTCCCTGATTTCTGCTAATCTCTCTGTATTCCATGGGTGCTAAGAACCATCTATTGTTTTTTATGGTCTTGATGTTTCACTCTTCAAGCTATCCTTTTTTTCTGCTACTTTGCTCTGTGTTCCCCATTCCTGTTATTGCCTCTCCTATTTCATTGCCTTGAAGACTATTTTTAGTTCTAGCTAAAAACCTTAACTCAGCTGTGGTAATATTAACTCAGGTGTAGAAATGACCAACAGTGAAGTGGCAGAAGCACCATTACGATTTTTAAGAAGGCTAGATTTTGTATTATGAATCTGAATAAGATGCATACAATGACTACAGGACTAATCATACAATATCTTTTGACCATTTTTACAATTTTTTGGCTAGTTTATATACAATTCAAAAAATACAAACTAGTAAATTAGTGCACATTCCAATAGTTATATTTGTTTTTGCTTTGCTTTTAAATTGAATAATATAGTGCTAACAAATACCAGTAAAACATTAGGGGTGCACAGATACAGATTTTTTGGGGCAAGACTGATAGCTGATTTTTAACAAGCCATATTGGCTGATACAGATTCGACTGCAGATATGCAGGCAGGCAGCGTCTGGCTGGTAAGTCTATTGTGGGGGAAGGGGCAAGAGGGGGGGCAGATTGAGGCCCCTGCAGTGAGGGAGGGAATGGGGCTGAGGCTGCACAGGTGAGACAGGGTGCAGGATGGAGCTGCGTGTGGCTCGTTTGGGGGGGGGGGGGGGGGGCCCCCCGCCGCTACATGCACCCCAGGAGGACATGGGGGGTGGGTGCCCCCATATTTGCGTGCAGGGCAAGGGTGGGCTGCAGCTGTAGGCTAGGGACAGGGTGGTGCTGAGCTCTTCCCGGTGGGGGGCTGGGTCATGCTGCGCTCTGGGAGGAGGGCTATCGTGGAGGGGGGGCTGTAGCCACCCCAAAATTCCCTGTAGCCCCCTCCCAGCGCCACTGCCACCCTCCCCAAGTGCAGCCCAGGCCCAACTGCCTGCTGGGAAGAGCCTGGTGCCACCCTGCAGTGGCACCTTGCCCTCGTTTCGTGCGCACATCTGGGGGCCCACGCCCTGCATGCCCTCCTGGGTGTGTGCAGTGGCGGGGGGGACCGCCGCCCCCCCCCCCCCCACTCTCCTGGTT